CGCGCATCCCGCCTCATGCCCCCGGTCCCCGTGAAGACCGAGCCGGGCCAGGTGGCCGCGGCCACGGCCGGCGACCCGTCCTCCCGGGCCCCGGGGCGTGGGCTGTCCTCGGAACATGCGCGCCTGGTGGCCATCTTCTCCGGGGCCGGGCTGGCGGCGGCGGCCGGGGCCAGCGGGCGGCCGGCCGCCCCGGCGCTGCCCTCCCCGCCGGTGCTCTCGCTGTCGGGGCTGGTGCCCAAGCCGCGGGTGCATCGGCCCGCGCCGGTGCCCTCGCTGTCGGCCCCCAGCCCGGGGCCTGGGGCCAGCGGCGCAGGCCCCGGCGGGCGTCCTGGCCCCGGCCGGGGGCCCTCCTTCGGGACCGGTCCCGGGGATCTGGTCCCGGCTCCTGGGCGCGGCCCGGGGCAGCTGGTGCCCCGGTGGACCTTGGAGCCGGATCTGGCCCCGCTCCCGGGCAGCAGCATGGCCATCTCGCATGCGCTCGGCCGGCTGTCGGTCGAGGAGCTACATGCCCTGCGGGAGCGGCTCTTCTTCCTCCGCCGCCAATGCATCGATCGCACCGAGCGCGTCTTCCAGGTGGGCTCCGCCGTGCCGGAGCTGGCGGCCACCGTGATGCAGGCGCGCCCGGGCGCCCCGGGCGCCGAAGCGTACGCCCCCCTCTGCACCCTGCGCCCTGCCCCCCCCCCCCCCCCACTGTCTCGCTCTCCTCGCCTCTTTCCTCTCCCGACGCCTGTCTGACAGCCCCGTGTGCGGATCCGTGGCCCTGGCCGTGTAGGGCCAGCCAGGCGCGCTTCGAGTCTGGTGCGTATGCTCGCGGTGTGGCCCGTGCGAGTGTGCCGACGCCGTCCGCTAACCAGCCCCCCGCCTCCGTTTTGTCGCCCCCCCCCCTCCTCCCCCGGCCCCTCGCTCGGCACTTGGGCCATGCGCAGATGGCTTCCCCCCGCGGCGCTGGAAGGCGCCACACGGTGGCATCACCACCTCGGCCCTGGGCATGCTCCCCTCCTTCTCCGGGTGCGCGCATCCCCTCCCCCCCCCCCGCTTGCACATGGCCTCCCTCCTTGCGGTGCACTGACCATCGCGCTGCCATATATCCCCCCCCCCCCCCCCCCCCCCCCCCCCCCCCCCCCCCCCCCCCCGCTGCCCCCCCCCTGCGGCCCCCCCCCCCCCCCCCCCTGTCCCCCCCCCCCCCCCCCCCCCCCCCCGCCTCTCTCGGCGACCCCCCACACAGGGAGCTGACATCGGCGGCCGGGTCATCCTCGGCGGCTGGTGGGGCGGCCCCCATCGGCGCGCCCCCGGCAGCCACCTCCGGGGGAACCTCGGCGGCTTCGGCCGCGGGGACACCCCCCTCGGGGCCCGCAACCGCGACGACGACCGCGGCCGCGGCGGCCCCGCTGCTTCAGACACATGCGCCCGGGCGTGGGCGTCGGCGCAGCGGCTCCGGCGCCGCCTCCGGCGAGTCGACCCCCAAGCGCCGGCGCTACTCGGCCACCTCGTCCCTGTGCGTGGGTCGCATCTTTGCGTCGGCCCCTTCCTGCTTGCCCGCGCCGTGGGGCGTCTCTCCTGCCCGCTCGCTCGCTCGCCCGCTAGCTGACCCCCCCCCTCTCTCTCTCTCTCTCCTTCTTCGCCCCTCCATTGGCTCCCCGGCGTGTCAGGGACGGGTATACGTCCTCCGAGGGGGAAGAGCCCCTGGCCGAGGGGCCCGGGTCCTGGCCGGGCTCCGGCGGCGATGCCAGCATCAAGGCGGAGCCCGGGCGCCCGGACGCCGCGGCACCAGCGCGGTCGGCTTCCCCATCGGGGGCCCTCCGCAAGGCGGGGCTCCCGGCCGGCGGGGGGCCAGGCCCGACCGGTGGCCAGGCGCCCGGCGAGTCGGATGCCGGCATGCCAAAGGCTCGACGCGGTCGCGGCCGGCCGCCCTCGCGGCCGAATAGCGCCGCGACCACGGCCGCCGCCGCCGCCGCCGCGGCCACCATGACCGAGGCCGACACCGAGGCCGACACCAAAGCCGAGGATGCTGGCCTGGCGGCGGCGGCGGCGGCGGCAGCAGCCCCGCTGGCGGCGGCGGCCACCCCGGGGACCGAGCCCCCGGGCGACCGGCCAGCCGCCTGCCCGCGGCCGCCGGCCCCCAAGGGGTCGATCTTGCGCGCGACCCAGGCCCTGGACCAGGCCCTGGCCGATGAGCAGGTGGCCCTCAGCCGGCTGCGGGTGCACTCGGTCAAGATCGAGGCCTTCACCAAGTCCTACGAGCCGTACTTTGCCCCGCTCGGGGACCGGGAGCTGGCCCTGCTGGAGCCGGCCGGCGAGCATGACCCCAGCCCGTATGTGGTGCCGGAGCTCGGGCCCTTCTACCTGGACGTGTGGCAGGGGGCCGGGGCGGGGCGCGCCGACCACCCGGCCGCCGGGGACGCCCGGAAGCCGGGCCCCCCGGCGCAGCCCGGCGACGCCCCCCCCCCGGCGGCGGCCGAGCCACTGCACCAGGCGCTCCACTCCCTCGGTACCTCGCCCGGCATCGGGGAGCAGCTCCTGCCGGGGGAAATTGCCGAGCAGGCGGCCCTCCGCCGGCAGGGCTACCTCGGTGCCCTGGGGCAAATTGCCGTGCCTGCCGGGGCCGAGGCGGGCTCCGGGGGGCCGGCCCCGGCCGACGCGCCCCTGGCCGAGGCCCCCCTGGCCGAGGCGGCCTGCCTGGCCGAGCGGCTGATGTGCTCGCTCCTGCAGGAGGGCCTGCTGCTGCCGTACGATTCCGGCTCCGGGTCCTCCGGGTCGGATGGCGAGGGGGCGCACTCCGAGCTGGACGCCTTCCTGGATGACGAGCAGTCCGGGGGGCGGCCGGCGCGGCTGCCCGGGACCCCGGGGCCGGGAGCCGGCCCCGGCGGCGCCGGCCCGGACGACGAGGCCGACGCCGATGTCGACTCGGACGGCGGGTCGGACCTGAGTGACTCGGAGGCCGCCGGGCCGGGGGACGGGTCGCGCGGGGGGGCGGCCCCCTCGGGCGGGCGGCTGTCGGAGGCCCTGCCGGCCGGCGGGGCGCGGCTGTTCGCCGGCCCCGGGCGGCCGGAGGGCGTCGACCCGCCGGCGGCCGGGTCCTCGTCGGCCTTCTCCTCGACATCCTTCTCGTCGTCCAGCTCGTCGTCCGGGTCCGAGGACAATGGCCCGGGCGGGCCGGGCCCGCAGCACCTCAGCGACATCGGGGGGTTCTCCTCGCACTCGGACGACCAGGGGGCTCCCTCGGGGCCGGGGACGCCGTCGGCCCGGGGGCCCGGCGGGCGCCCCGGCGGCAAGGGGGCCCCGCCCAAGCACCCGGCCTCCGGGTCGGCCTCCTCGTCGTCGCGCTCCGGGGCGGCCAACTCCTCGGACCGGCCGCCGCACGATGACAGCGCGCCGGACTCCGGGCTGTCGACGCCGGTCCGGGGCCCGGCCGGCACCCGGAGCGGGGCCCTGTCGCGCGCGTCCAGCCTCGGCCCCTCGGACATCGAGGGGGAGGAGGAGGGGGAGCAGGAGCACGACGACGAGGGGGATGCCGGCTCGGGGGCCGTCGTCACCCCGGGGCCCGGGGCCACCGGCGGCATGAAGTCCACCGGGGCCACCGGGGGCCATCCCGGGGCCAGCCAAAAGTCCGGCCGCGGGGCGTCCTCCAGCCGGCGGACGTCGGCCCCGAGCGGGCGCGGCGGCCGGGGCGGCCACCGGGGCGGCCGGGGCGGCGCCCGTGCCGGCGGCCCCGGGCCCGGCGGCGACGCGGCCGGGCCCGGCGGACCCGGCAGCGGGGCGGCCGGGCGTAGCCGACTGGCCGGCCGGCCTGGCCCCGGGGACCCGGGCCACCACCCGGCCGAGGACCACCTGCTGGCCGGGCCCGGGGCCGGGCCCGGGGCCGGGCCCGGGGCCGGGGCCGGGCCGGACCATGCGGCGGCCGGCGGCCCGGGCGATGCGTGGGTCACCCCGGCCCATGCCGGGCGCACCTTCTCCTTCAATCCCTTCCCCTCGTACTTCCCGTCCAGTGCGGCGGCCCTGCTGAGCAAGGCCGTGGTGCAGAATCTCGGCTCGGTGCAGCTGGCCCGGGCCGGGCTCGAGCGCCACGGGTACCTGGTGGACGAGGCGGGCATGGTGCTCCGGCGGCCGGCGGCCGCGGGCCCCGGCAGCACGGGCATCGGCCCGGGCCCCGGGGCCGGGGGGAATGCCGCGGGGGCCGGCACGCGGGCCGGCTGCCCGCCGGCTGGGTCGGCCCCGGCCGAGCCGCCGCCGCTGGCCCTCGGGGCGCTGCCCTCCTTCCTGGGGGCGCCGGGCGGGGGCCGGGCGCCGGGCGGGCCCGCGGCGTCGCCCCCCCTCCCCGCCCCGGGCATGGACAGCCTGGAGCAGCGCCTCTGCCGGGAGCTGGTGGCCTGCGGGCTGCTGGAGCGCGAGGACCTGCACTCGGAGGGGGAGCCGGTCGAGGCCCGGCCGGAGGCCGGCCCCCCGCGCGCCACTCCGCTGTCCCGGTCGCTGGCCGAGTGCGCGGATGACGAGATCGCCGCGCAGTTGCGCGTCCTGCAGCCGCTCCTCCGGCGGCAGGTGGCCCTGAACAATGCCCGCCGTGCGCGGCTCCGGTCGCTGGCCCTGGCGCACATGGCCTACCAGGACTTCGAGGAGCTGATGGCCGAGCTGCATGGGCAAATCGAGCGGGGCTATGTGACGCGGTATCGGCCGACCGGGGGCCGGGGCGGGCGCAAGGGCGCCGGCCGGGGCGGGGCCGCGGCCGCCGCCCGCGCCTCGCGGCCCCTCAGCGAGGACCTGCGCCTGGCCATCCTCCGGTCGGAGGAGCTCCCGCTGCGCCTGCGCCATGTGTTCCCCCACCCGGAGGCCTTCCGCATCCCGCTGCGCCAGCCGCCGGTGCCGAACCTCATCCGGCGTGACGGGGGGTCGGCCGTGCCGGAGCCACTGCCGGCCACCACGGCCTACCGCCTGCAGCAGGCCGGCTGGCGGGCCACCACCTTCAACATGGGCACCCTGTGCCCGCTGCCGGTGGGGTCGGACCCGGTGGCCGACGCGCACCGGCTGGCCGAGCGTGCCGACAGCCCGGCCGCGGCGGGTGCCCCGGCCGAGCCGTCCCCGGCCCCGGGCCCGGGCGCCCCGACATGCTACCGCCGCCGGACCGACCTCCCCAGCGCCGATGTCCCCTGCTCGAGTGTCTTTGCCGGGTCCTTCGCCGGGCTGGCCAATCCCGATGTGCTGGGCACCCTGGCGCAGGCCGGCGTGCCGACCGGCATGGCGGCCGGCGGGCTGCTGGCCGGCGCGGCCACCGCCGCGGCCTTCCACACGGCCACCGCCCTGGCCGCCGGCTGTCCACTGACCGACGAGGAGGACCCGGGCCCGGATCCGGACCCGGAGGATGGCGCCGCCGGGGCCGGGGACACTCCGGGCCCCCGGTCGCCGGCGACCCCGGCCGGGCCCATCAAGCCCGAGCCGGCCACCGGCCCCGGGCCGGGCGGCCCGGGCGACGCCCCGCCGGCCCCCGGCCCGGGCGACCACTCGCCCGAGCCGGCCGACCCGGCGACCCCCTCGTCCGCCGCGCCCTCCGGCAGCCCCTCGTCCTCGGGCCGGGGCGACCGCAAGCGCCCGGCGGGCGCCCCGGCGGCCGGCCTGGCCCCGGACCCCGGGGCCGTGGCACGCGCCCAGACCACCGGCCTCTTCGGGGCCGGGACCCGGCGCCCGCGGCGCGGCATCCACAGCAGCCAGGACATCGCCGGGATGCTGGCCTCGGTGGAGGCACTGACGCAGGCCGGCCGGCCCCGGCGCCCGGGCGCCCCGGCGACGGTCGATGCGCGTGCCTCCCCGGCCTCGGCTGCCGGTGCCGGGCCCCCCCCGGCGCTGGGCCTCTCCTCGCAAGGGGTCAGCGACTTGCTGGCCGCCGCCAACAGCGGCTACTACGGCGGCCCCGGGGCCAACCCGCTGCCCAGCAGCTTGGGCGGCTCGTCGGCCGCCGGCGCCCCGGGCGCCCCGCTCTGAGGCCGGCGGCGTGCCGGCGGCCGCCGTGTCCCCCGCCCCCCATATCGGTCCAGCACGGCCGCCCTGGCCAGCACGCAGGATCTCCCTTCACAATATACCCCAGAAGCTCGGCACAAAATGGCATTGCCTCCCGGCGCCGATGCGTCGGCACTCGGATGCGTTGGGCGCGGCCGTGCCCCCGGGCGTGTGGCCCCGCCCCGGCGCCGGTCGGCGCCCGCGCACACAAAGGGGAGCTGGCGCGGGCGGGCGGGCGGGCAGCGAGATCTAGGATTCGGGCGAGGGCGAGGGGCGAGGGGCAGGGAGCGCGGCGGACACGCGGGATCGGTCGTGGGCGAAAAGGGCTCGCGCCCCGCGCGCGTGTCTCACCCGAGCGCCATGCACTTTCCCCTACCTCGACCTTGCCCCCCCCCCCCCCCCCCGTGTCCTCTTGCCCCCGCGCCGCTCCACACGCCC